TGTCTGCTGCTTTGCCCATGGTTAGGCCAGGGTTATGAGTGCTGAGGAGAAAGACTACAGAGGTAAGGTGCCATTTTTAAAAAAAGACTTACTGTTTGACAGGCAATGAGAGAGAGAGTCTTCCATATGCTGGTTCACTCCCCTAATGGCTGCAATAGTTGGGGGTGAGCCAGGCTAAAGCCAAGAACCAGAAACTCCACCTGAGTCTCCCACGTGGGTGCAGGGGCCCAAGCACTTGGGCCATCTTCTGCTTTCCCAGGTGCATTAGCAGGGAGCTGGATTGGAAGTGGAGCAGCCAGGATGGGAACCAGTGCTCCCATTTGGGAGCTGGCGCTACAGGAGGGAGCTTACCCCGCTGCACCCAGCACGGCCCTGAAGCACCCTTTTCACCACACCCAGGCAAGGTGGACACTGTCGTGTGGCTCAGCACTCGGAGGCTGGCCTGGGCCACCTGGCTGAGCAGTGCACGTCGGTCTCTCTGCTGGAAGGAAGTCCTTGCAGCCGACACCGGACGCGTGGACATTATGCCTCAGAGGCAAAGCATCTACATCAATCATCAGGAATTCTTTTTTTAACTTTTTTTTAAAGATTCATTTATTTATTTAGAAGGCAGAGTTACAGAGAGGCAGAGAGAGAGAGAGAGAGAGGTCTTCCATCTGCTGGTTCATTCCCCTAAATGGTCACAACGGCCAGAGCTGGGCATATCTGAAGCCAGGAGCCAGGAGCTTTTTCTGGGTCTCCCACACAGGTGCAGGGGCCCAAGGACTTGGGCTATCTTCCACTGCTTTCCCAGGCCATAGCAGAGAGCTGGATTGGAAGTGGAGCAGCCGGGTCTGCGCACTAGCAGGAAGCTGGAGTCAGGAGCCAGCACCAGGCATGAAAGTCAGGTGCGCCAACACAGGATGCAGGCCTCCTCACTGGCCTCCTAATCTGAGGCTGAATTCCCACCCTGTGACTGCTCTTTTGAAGGGTGCACAGAGTGCCCGGCTGGCGAGGAGACACAAGAGGACTTCAAAAAGTTCACAGACGATGGAATGAAAAGACAAGTTTATGGTGCTGCAAAATGAACTGAGACCCATGTACATGCAGGGTCTTCAAAAAGTGTTCAAGGAAAAACTGCAGGGATTTCAAAAAAGATTTAACACCAAAAGAAGCTCATGGGATTAAGCTGCCACCTGCAGCCCTAGTTCACATCCCGGCTGCTCCACTTCCGATCCAGCTCCCTGCTCATGCACCTGGGAAAGCAGCAGAGGATGGTCCAAGTGTTTGGGCCCCTGCATCCACGTGTGGGACCCTAATGAAGCTCCTGGCTTCGGCCTGGCCCTGCCCTGGCCGATGCGGCCTTTAGGGGAGTGAACCAGAGGATGGGAGATCTGTCCCTCTCTCTCTCTTTTTCCCTCCCTTTTCTGTAACTCTTTCAAATAAATAAAATAAAAATCTTTAAGAAAAGAAAATCCCAGGGTTGGTGTCGTGGCATAGCAGGTTGAGCCTGTAATACACACATCCAGCTCCCTGCTGTGGCCTGGGAAAGGCAGCTGGAGATGGCCCCTGCAGCCATGTAGGAGATCTGGAAGAAGCTCCTGGCTTTGACCTGACCCAGCCAAGGTCACTGCAGCCATCTGAGGAGAGAACCAGCCTATGGAAGTTCTCCCTCCCTCCCCCCCCCCTCTCTCCCTCCCTCTCTCTCTCTCTCCCTCCCTCTCTCTCTCTCTACCTCCCCTTCTCTCTGTGTAACTCTTTCAAAGAAAAAGTAAATATTAAAAAAAGAAGAAAAACTCAATAAACTTAAGTATTTAGTAAGCTGTGCTACAACCAGGAGGTTTATTCAATAACAGGGATTGAGATAACTAATTAGTAATATCAGAGGGAAAATAGCATGGATAAAATAATTGATATTTTTTAAATTATTGGAAAAATAGAAGAAAACAAACATTTTCAAATTGTAGACAAGAAAATTCATTTCCCAAATACAGAAACAGGATGAGAAATAGCAAATAAAAAGGTCATCAGATATGACTTCTTTGGGGAATAAAAAGCTTTCTGTTTTCAAAAAGAGAGAGGAGAGAGGGCCTGCGCTTTTTTTTTTAAAGACTTATTTATTTATTTTAAAGATTTATTTTATTTATTTGAAAGACAGTTACAGAGAAAGGTAGAGACAGAGAGAGAGGTCTTCCATCTGCTGGTTCACTCCCCAGATAACCACAACAGCCGGAGCTGTGCCAATCTGAAGCCAGGAGCCAGGAACCCCCTCTCCGGTCTCCTACTTAGGTACAGGGCCCAAGCACTTGGGCCATCTTCTACTGCTTTCCCAGGCCACAGCAGAGAGCTGGATTAGAAGAGGAGCAGCCGGGACTAGAACCGGTGCCTATATGGGATGCCAGCGCTTCAGGCCAGGGCATTAACCCGCTGTGCCACAGCGCCGGCCCGGCCTGCACTTTTTATGAGAGTGTGTTTTCACACTGTTAGTCCCAACAGGCTAATTTTGATATGAAAAACAATGCAAATAGGACAAGAAAGAAGAATACAAACAGGGAACAAAAGCAGCCAGAAAGAAAACAGCAGACAGGAAGGCAGGAATCTTTGCCTGTCAGCGCTGGAGATGGCATATATCACACACAGTGTGTGCAAACTAACGAAAAACAATTAGATCCCTGCATCGGAACAGGAAAACCATTTGGAGAAATGATTCACTACAGATGGAAAAATGTTCACGTTCAGTCATAATGGAAGGGATGCAAATTAAGACAATAATGAGACAAGTTAGGTTGGTTAGTTTTTAATTAGGGGAAAATGTAAAACCTCATATCCAGTGTTGGCCGGAGGATTAAGAAACAGCCAGCCCCTGATTTGGCTTGGGGCCCGCACTGTGGCAAAGCGGGTCAAGCCACTGCTTGCAATGCTGGCACATCCCATATCCAAGTGCCGGTACCAGTCCTGGCTGCTCAGCTTCGGATCCAGCTCCCTGCTAACGCACCTAGGAAAGCAGTGGAAGACGGCCTAAGTGCTTGGACCCCTGCACCCACGTGAGAGACTGGGATGGAGTTCCTGGTACCTGGCTTTGGCCTGGCCCATCCTTGGCTGTTGCAAGCATCTGGGGAGTGAACTAGCAGATGAGAGCGTTCTCTCTCTCTCATATAAAATAAATATGGACAATATTAACTTCTCAAAAAACCAACAATCTGTGCTAAGAATACCTTTGATTACATAAAAATGTACGTCTTAGTATGTGAAAACAATTATAGGAACAAACAACACATATGATGCTCCAAGCATGGTGACCTCATAGAAACTGGTTAAAACAGACATTCACAGTAAAACAATAACAAAGAGTCATTTAGCAACAAAACTTGCTAAACTGTGAATTCCTGGCATTGGTGTGAGGTCACTCACAAGTTTCTGGGGGTTATAGGCCCTGGCTTTCTGTAAGGCAGTTTGACAACTTACATCAAGAATCATGTAAATGTTTTAGCACCTGTTTGGGGGACCCAAGTGTAATGTGAAAGAAGTAGAAAGTCAGATGCCATAAAGACGTTCACAAAATCATTATTTATAGGAGTTGAGGCAGAACCGACTGAAGTATCCAGCATGTGGTGTGGCCGCTGGACCACAAGGAGCAGCTACAGTGGGCAACAGTTTGTGCCCGGGCCAGGCATGCTCCTCTGGACAGGAGTCAGGATCCCGGTGCCTCCATGGGTGCAGTAAGCGAGACCCCCCCTCCCCAGAACTCTGCCCCAGCCTGGACTCCCCCCAGCTGGAGGTGCCACCACACAGACACAGATGGGCGGTAGGAAAGAGGAGAGGCATTGCTCTGCCAACCAGGGGGGGCCAAGGGGGCCTTTTTTCTCTGTTGTCCATTGCATTGTGTTCCACCTGTTTCACAGTAACACAGAAGTTATCTTAGCTATAAGGGACGACCCCTTTCAAATTAAACAATAGCTGTTTCCTCATTTACACAATGGAAATCCTAACAAACCTGCAGTAAGAGAACAGGCCCAAGGGGGTCGAAGGGTTCACCCAAGGTTGTTCAGTTTGAAAATGGCAGTGCCGGGGCTCAAAGCCAGGGAAGGCCAAAAAAAAGAACAATGGGGGCCGGCACTGTGGCGCAGTGGGTTAAAGCCCTGGCCTGAAGCGCCAGCATCCCATATGGGCACCGGTTCTAGTCTCAGCTGCTCCTCTTCCAATCTATCTCTGCTATGGCCTGAGACAGCAGTAGAAGATGGCCCAAGTCCTTGGGCCCCTGTACCCACGTGTGAGACCTGGAAGAATCTCCTGGCTTCGGATTGGCGCAGCTCCATCCGTTGCAGCCAATTGGGGAGTGAACCATCGAATGGAAGACCTCTCTTTCTCTCTGCCTCTCCTCTCTCTGTGTAACTCTGACTTTCAAATAAATAAATCTTAAAAAAAAAAAAAATAAAGAACAATGGTGGACCAGCATTGTGGCATGGCGGGTAAAGCCACTACCTGCAATGCCATCATCCCATAAGGGCATTGGTTCGAGTCCGGCTGTTCCACTTATGATCCAGCTCCCTGCTAATAGCCTAGAAAAAGCAACTGAAGAAGCCCCAAGTGTTCGGGCCTCTGCCACCCACAATGTGGGAGACCCAGATGAAGCCCCTGGCTCTTGGCTTCGTTGTGGCCCGGCACTGGCTGTTGTGCCCATCTAGGGAGTGAACCAGCGGATGGAAGATCTCCCTTTCTCTCTGGCTCCCCCTCTCTGTCTGTAACTCTAACTTTCCCGAAATAAATCAAATAAATCCTTTTTGTTTTTAAAGTGAACTACTAAAAGGCTAGACCAGCAATACAAAAGATCACACGCAAGGCACACACAAGCCGAGAACACTCACAGATAATTCAGCAGGGGGCGCTGCAAGCTCGGTTTCCAATCCCATTCCCACTAGGACGTGATCTGACTTCCCTGTGCCCCCAGCTGCCCCAGTCCTGGCCCCCACCAAGCCCTGCTGTGGCTACGGAAGACTCTACAGTGGGGAGCCCACACTCACATGATCCGCCACGTTGGTGCAGCCTCCCGTGTGGATCAGAGCCCTGGACACGTCCTCAGAGCCCGTGAGGGCCGCATAGTGCAGGCAGCTCCGCTTCTTCTAGAAGGAAGCAGACATTCACGCAGGGTCACAGTGGGATGGACAACACGCTTTGGGCTTCAATTATTCCGTTTGGGTCTCAAATCCCCCGAGACTGTTATCCCCAGGAAACCCTGTAGTTAGCAAATCAGGGACTTGCCCCAGCCTGGTGAGCAGTGCAGGCCGTTCACAATGGCCTCAGCCTTTTCCTCGCTCCCATCACCAACCCAGAGCCTGCCAAGTTCCCTGGCTGCAAAGACATGCAGGTGATAGGCGCTAAGGAAGATAAAGGGAGCTGCCAGACAGGGACCCCCACGCTGACACGCACTGACCACACCAGTAGCTGGTCCAGGGGAGCATGCAGGGCCAGAGGGCACAGCTCCATATCTGAGCCCAGCCAGGGCCCACAGTCACAGCTGCCCACCAGGATGATCCACTGTCCCAGTGTGCCAGGCACTGGAGGCGCCCTGGGCAGAAGGACTTTAGGTTTCAAAAGCAGGAAGGCTGGGGGCTGGTGCTGTGGTGTAGCGGGTAAAGCCACTGCCTGCAGCGCCGGCATCCTATATGGGCGTCGGTTCGAGTCCCAGCTACTGTACTTCCGATCCAACTCTGCTATGGCCTGAGAAAGCAGTGGAAGATGGCCCAAGTCCTTGGGCCCCTGAACCCCATGGGAGACCCAGAAGAAGCTCCTGGCTCCTGGCTTCGGATCAGTGCAGCTCCAGCCATTGTGGCCATTTGGGGAGTGAACCAGTGAATGGAAGACCTCTCTCTCTCTCTCTCTCTCTCTCACTCTCACTCTCTCCATCTGCCTCTCTGTAACTCTGACTTTAAAGTAAACAAATACATTTGAAAAAAGAAAGGGGATTTGTCACTCATCTAAAAACAAAAGGCAAAACAAAATAAAAAACGAAAACATCAATGCCCTGCCCACAAAACAGGCACATACCTGCCCCTCCTGGTCAGAGTAGAGGAGCACAGCGCCGTGGGGGCTTGGCCTGTGCCAGGGCCACTCAGCAGCCACAGCACTGTGGGCTGGGGTGGCCCCTGTGCAGGTGCGGCTCCACGGCAGGGCCCCCCATTAGTGTGCGGGAGCCCTGGGGTGAGGGGGAGCAGGCTTCTGAGACAGCTTTGCTTCTGAGACAGCGGCTGGTTGACTACGGTCTGTTCCCTCTGAAACTCGGGTTGTTTGATCCCCACGGTGAGGGCTTCCAAGGGCGGGACCTGGATCCAGATATGGCGATCAGTGATGGGGCTTTGGGAGGTGGCCAGGAGCAGATAAGGCCATCGGGAGGAGCCCCCATGACTGAAAACCATGGCTTTAAAGAGAGACCAGGACACCCAGACGCGCCCCTGTCCCTCACCTCGCAATGCCCCGCCCCGCCTCAGGACCCGGCCACCGGAAGGCCATCCTGTATGCAGCCTCCAGGCCTTCAGCCAGAACCCTGAGCCAAAATGAACCTCTTTTCTTTATAACTCACACAGTTCGTGTCGTTGCGTTATTGGAGCAGGTGGCTAAGACACCCCACAGCCCACAGCAGGGGGCCTGAGTGCCATTCCCAGCTCCTGTTCCTGCTCCTACAGACCCAGGAAGGCAGTGGTGACGGCTCTGTGACTGTGTTCCCACCATCCCATGGGAGATCTGAACTGAGCTCTCAGCCCGGCTCCTCGCTCTGGCCCCAGCTGGGTCCTAACTGCTGTGGGCATCTGGGGACTGGACCAGTGGATGAGAGCTGCTTTTTCTTCTTTCAAAGAAATACATTTATTTCAGAAGGAAAATGAAAGTGTTCTAAACTTATGGGGGTGGGCATTGTGGCGTGGTGGGTTCTGTCACCATCTGGGACACCTGTATCCCACACCACAGTGCCTGCACTTGGGATCCAGCCTCCTGCTAATGCCAGGCTTTGGCCTGGCCCTGCCCTGGCTGTTGCACACACTTGGAGGGTGAAGATCTCTCTCTCTCTCTCTCTCTCTCTCTCTCTCTCATTTTGCCTTTCAACTAAATAAAAATAAATAAGCAAACTTTTTTTAAAAAATTGATGGTGGTGATGGGGGTGTGACTGTGGACATCACCAAAGTGTACACCTAAATGGGGGCACTGCATGGTATGCGACTTCTAGCTCACAAATTAAAAAGAAAAAGAGGAAAAAAAAAAAAGAAAACGAACTAACCCTCAGTTTTCTCATCTGTAAAATGGGTGATGTATTTCTGGGATAGCCATTATTAGGATAGGGGTTCTATGAACTATCAAGAGCCCAACAATCAAACAGCACTCACAGGGGCTGGCAATGGACATAGTGGGTTAAGGCAGCATCCCACGTGGGCACCAGTTCAAGTCCCAGCTGCTCCACTTCTGACCCAGCTCCCTGCTAATGTGCCTGGGAAAGCAGCAGAAGATGGCCCAAGTGCTAAAATACTCACAGGTGCTGAGCCCTGTGTTGTCAGCACCGTGCCAGGTGTTCCATCCTCACAGCAATGTAGAAAGGTAAGTATATACCACCCCACTTCATTTTTTTTACTTACTTGAAAAGGTAGTACATCAGAGAGAGGAGGGGTGCAGAGAGGAGAGAGTGAGAAAGAGATCTTCTGTCCACAGGTTCACTAACCAAATGCCCACGACAGCCAGGCAAGGCCAGGTCTCCCACATGGCTGGTAGGGGCCCAGGCACCACAGCTGTCATCCGCTGCCTCCCAGGCGCATCAGCAGAGAGCTGGATGGGAAGTGGAGCAGCTAGGACTCGAACCGGTGCTCCAGGACAGGATGCTAGTTTCTCAAGCAGCAGCCTAACCCACTGCACCCCCGCCCCCGCCTCTCACCCCATTTTGCAGCTGGGAAACCCGGCTGGCAGAGGTTAAGGAACTTGCTCCGCAGTGGGAAAGCCGAGGCCAGAACCTGTGCCCTCGGACGCCCGGGGTCGCGGCGGCTGCCCCAGCTACCTGGGTGAGGGCGTTGGGGTCGCTGCCAGCGCGGAGGAGGAGCTGCACGCAATCGGGGTGGGCGCCTTCTGCAGCCGCATGCAGCGCGGTCAGCCCTTCCTGAAACACACGGGAGGCGGGAGGGCGGTGAGCGTGAGCGTGAGCATCGCGGGGCGCCTGGCCGCGGAGCGTTCTCGGCCGGCCTCCGCTCTCCCTCACCCCCCTGCAGCTGACCACCCCGGCCGCAGGCTATGCTCATCACCTTCTGGGAACCCCTCGAGCCGCGCGCCCCCCACACCTGGACACGGGCTGCTGCAGATCTGTCCCCGTGGGCTCCGAGCGAGGACCAGAAAAAGACCCTCAGCTCCCTGGCTTCCGGCCCGCACCAGGAGAGGCCGACGGCCCTGAGAAGCCTGGCTTCTGCAAAAGACCCTGATGCCGCAGCTCTCTGATCCCCCAGGGGCGACTCACCGTGGTCCTGGCCTCGAGGTGCAGCCCCAGTTCCACCAACCGCTGCAACACCGCCACGTGGCCCCGGCCGGCAGCCAGGTGAAGGGCCGTGTTCCCCTCCTGCAGGGGGAAGGCAGAGCCTGCGAGTCACAGCCCTGCAGGCCCCAGCTCTGTTCCCAGCGACAGAAGCAGCCCAGAGAGGGCAGGTCACAGAGCACCTGCGGGACAAGCTGCGGCTCTGCCTGCTTTGCCAGTGCCGAAAACCAAACCTGGGCCAAATCCTCAGGTTCCTCACATTTTCAAGGCAGACACAGCACTTAAAAAATGAAACTAAGGGCTGGCCCTGTGGCAAAGTGGGTAAAGCCCCTGCCTACAATGCCAGCGTCCTATATGGGATGCTTCCTGTCCTGGTCACTCCACTTCCGTCCGATCCCGTGCCTAACGCACCTCTGAAGGCAGCAGAGGATGGCCCAAGTGCTTGGGCCCCTGCACCCATCTGGGAGACCCGGAAGAAGCTCCTGGCTCTTGGCTTTGACCTGGCCACTGTGACCATCTGGGGAGTGAACCAGTGGATGGAAGATTCTCTCTCTCTCCCTCTCTCTTTCTCTCTCCTCTCCTCTGTCTCTGTAACTCTGACTTTCAAATAAGTAAACAAATCTTTAAAAATAAAAACTAAACTAAGCCTAGGTTCCTGTGTGAAGCCAGTCCCTTCCTGGGTACCCCTGACGCTTCCCCTCTCAATGCTCAAGGACGAGGCCTCAGTAGCTCAACGTGGAGGGAGGGCTGTCCAGGGTGGTCCCCTGGCCTCTCTTCTCCTCTTTCCCATGGCACTGGTCCCCCTCAAGCACACCCTGGCTCGGTCACATTCTGCTTCCTCGTGCCGGAGCATCAGAAGGACAAAGCTTTCTGTCTGTCTGGTTCTCCGAGACTTCCTCGGGGGCTGAGAAAGAAGCCGGGACGGGGGCAGACACGCAGCACAGGTCTGCTCAATGAGTCCATCGTGGGTGGGACCGGCTCGTGTGTGGGCAGGTAGACCTGCGAGCCAGGGGCCTGGGAGTCGCCAGGAGTCTAAAGGGAACAGTGACGGAGCCAAGACAGGTGGCTCCACTGGGCGGACCCTCCCAGGCCAGTCTGCTTCACTGGGGTGGGCAGTTGGCGCAACAGTTAAGCCCCTGCTTGGGTACCCACGCCCCTTATCAGACGGCCTGGGTTCAGGGTCCTGGCTCTACTCCTAATTCCAGCTTCTGCTACTGCGCACCCTAGGAGGCAACAGTGACAGCTCATGTGCTTGCTCCCTGCCACTGACATGGCCGACCTGGATGGAGCTCCAGGCTCCCAGGTTTGGCCTGGCTCAGCCCTGGCTGTTGTGGGCATTTGGGGAGTGAACCAGCGGATGCAAGATCTCTGTCTCTGTCTCTCTGCCTTCCAAATAAAATGAAAATAAGTGAGTAAATAAAAAAAAAAATCTTGGGGTCATGTTGTGGCGTATTGGGTTAAGCCCCCACCTGCAAAGCTGGAATCCCACATGGATGTCAGTTTGAGTCCCAGCTGTTCCACTTCCCATCCAGCTCCCTGCTAATGTACCTGGGAAAGCAGCAGAGGATGAGCCAAGTGCTTGGGTCCCTGCGTCCATGTGTGAGACCCGGATGAAGCTCCTGGCTCCTGTCTTTGTCTTGGTCCAGCTCTGGCTCTTACAGCCATTCGGGGAGTGAAACAGAGGGTGGAAGATATCTCTCTCTCTCTCTCTCTCTCTCTCTTCTCTTTCTGTCTCTCCTCTCTCTGTAACTCTGCCTTTCAAATAAACATAAATCTAAAAAGCAACAAGGAACACACTGAGGACCACAGGGGGCGAACCAGGGACGCCTGAGGGCCCTAAAAGGCAGGCAGAAGCAGAGGCCCCACTCTGAGGCTTCACGCAGAGTGCAGCGGAGCAGGAACAAGTACTTAAAATAACAGTGAAAGCCACACATCGCCCCACGGCCAAGCCACACATAGGCAAAACAGCAGTCGCTCTCTTAGGGGATCAAAGATGAAACCGGGCGTCTCCGTCAAGGGCAGGGCAACACTCCATGAATGCCTTAAACATCCCCTCCCAGCAGCTCTGTCCTGCTCGGGGCACCCTCGCCTTGGACACGCGTGCAGCTGCTGCTGTAAGCAAGGGTCCGCTGTCGGAAATGCAGCCACGGTGGGGAGGGCCGGTGCTCAGGGCACCCACAGGAAGTGGCGGACCCTCAGGGGCTGGGAGTGGAGACCGCTGGGAAGCTGACAGTGCTCCCCCTGAGACGAATCACCCCAAATCAGAAAGCACAGGGTCCAGCAGGGGTGCACGACTTCAAAAGCTGCCTTCTAGACTTGCCGACTGCAGGACTCCGGATGCGTTCCTCCCAGCTCATTGTTCTCCTCCTCTGCATCTGCTGCTCCTGCTCTCCCGGCGTCCTGAGGGGCCATCATCTCTGCCCTCTGGGTCAGCCTGTCCCTTCTCTGCACACCCACAGCCTTCTCAGCCTGTGTTTCCAGAATGGGAGACTGGGCTGATCCAAGCTGCAGGATCTTGCAAGGCTGAGTGTGGATGATGGACTTGGTGCAGACCCCACGGGGGTCAGGACCCCAGGTGGGGAAGGGGCGCAGGGTGAGGCACCAGGAATCAGGGCCACGCTGGCTCCCGCACCCAGCTCTTCCTTTACCTTGCTGTGTGCCCTTAGCCAAAGCAGCCCCCTCTCTGGGCCTCAGTTCCCACGTCTGTAAAAGACTGAACTGGCCCTTGCTGGAGACACCTGCCAGGTCTAAGACCCGTGGTGCATCAGTCTGTGAGCTCACCGTCGCCACTTCCACACAGAACCCCCTTAATCCCCGCCAGGGATGCTGACGGGATCAGTGGTGGCGTCGCTCCGTTTGCTGGAAGCATTGTTTAGAATGTGCTAGAGCACATCTTACCCAATGATTCGCAGTGGCTCACTGCATCCCCTCTACTCCCCGGCCCTCACCCCTGCTCAGATGGGTGAACCCTGCTCCTAAACTCTCCACCATGAGTCAACAGTTCCTATCTTCCTGTTGCCATAGCAACAGCAGCACCTCAGAAAGAAGGCGGGCATGTGGCTCCGGAGTACTGATCCTGCTCATCCCGCCCTTGGGAGCACCGCCGGCCAACCAGATTGGCCACCCCGCCTCCCCACATCCAATCACAGCTCTTTACTCAGGGCTGTGGCATGGATTTCCTTGAATCAGGGCTGGGCTGAGTGCAAGCTGCCACATGCCTGCAAGCAGGCCATGAGACAGCCTCTGCTCCTTGGGCCTCCCAAGAGCACACCTGGAGTCAGAGGTGGGTGCAGGGGAGGTGCCAGCACCTACCAGGTGGCAAGGGTCCTGCAACCTGGTCAGGAGCCCAGAGCCTTGCGGTCACTGTACCTTGTCTTTGACACTGTGGTCACAGCCAGAGCCCACGAGGAAGTCCAGAGCCTCCAGTTGCCCGTGTTCAGCAGCCCTGTGGAACGCTGTCCTGCCCAGCTGGTCAGAAAGACAGGAGTGAGCCTCCCTCACCGCCCTGCCTGGCTGGCTCTGCTCCCCCAACCGCTCTGGGCCTTCGGCAGCCCCTCAGGCCTCACTCTCCTTGCCCCTCCCCCTGACCCATACACCCACCCTGGAAAGGCCAGACCCCAATTCCCAATCAGGGCCACTTGCCAGGGTCCCTCCCTGCTGCCCACTGAAAAAAGGACAGATCCCAGAGGCTGGAGGCACAGGTCTCCATGAGGGGCCCCTGGCACCCCTCTAGCCTGCCCTCCCAGGTTCCCGCCCTGCAGAACTCACACCCAAGCGGCCCCTGCCACCTCTGGAGCTCAAGAGATGCTCTCCCCTCTGTTTGCCCCACCCCCACTCCCTTGCTTTCCATATCCTACCTGCAAACCCAAACACCCGCCCCCCCAGGAAGCAGAGAGCAAGTGCTCCCTTCTATAACCTGTCTAGTCCACGGTCAGGGCCTCTTGGGGCCAACTGACCATGATCTGCCGGAGCCCTGCCCATTGTGCCCATTGCCTCTTCCGGATCAGCACCTCCCCCAGGGGGGCAGTTGGTCCCTATGTCAGAAGATTCCCTCAAGGCAGGCAGGAAGCCCAGCAGGCACCAGCAGGGCTGGCTCTCACCTTGTCCGCCTGGTCCAGGGCCACGTCCTCCAGGTCCTCCATCATGAATGCCAGTACAGGCACGTGGCCTTTCTGGGCTGCGCAGTGCAGCAAGGTCAGGCCGTCCTGGAAACAAGCCCAGGTGGTCCCTGCAGCCTGCCGAGGGAGGCCCTTCTTGCGTACTGCCCACCTCCTGGACACAGTTGCCCCAGGGGACAAGCGACGAGTGGGCCCCAGGATAAGCAACTCAGAGCAGCTGGCGGGAGCGATGATGCTGGAGTTCAAGTCCCCACCCATCAGCTCTGTGCTCTGGGGCCAGTGTCACCTGTCTCTCTAAGCGTCCATCGTCACAGAGGTCACGTTAGGAAAATAACCCCCGAGCTCTGGGTGGCTGAGAGAGGACTGGGAGGCAGCACCCACAGAAGTAAACTGGAAATGACCTGGAATTAAACTGGAAATGACCCGGAAGTGTAAAATGAGGTCCTCTATCACTAGCTGTCCTCAGAACAGCCCCCCGGAATGGGTAAGCAGGTCCCAGGCATCACCTCTGATCCAGTCACTAGGGAAGGAGCCAGGGAGGAAGCACGTGGTGGCCGTCCCTGGGGGGCACCCCCTGGGACTCGCGGGGACCCTGCCCTCACACCATGCACACACGGAGGAGCAGCGTGCAGACACCAGTTCCCCAATCTGCCAGGCACCCAGCCGGGTCCTGTGCCTCACCGCACAACTCTCGCTTCTCCCCCAGCTCCAGGGACAAAACTGAGGCTCATCCCAGGTCCCAGAGTCGCTAAATGGAGCTCTGCTCCTTCCGCTCCATCACAGCCACCCCAGGGAGCCAGGGCAGGCAGGAAGGGAAAGAGCACCCCGCTCCGCATCCCCCCTCCCTAACCAGCCTCCAAGATGCTCCTTTGAGTCCTCCCCTGCAGATCAGAAAGCACCCAGGCTTTCTCCCAAGCGCCCAGCTTCACAGCACTGCTCTCAGTCAGGACTTCCAGAAGATTCTCAGAGAGTGGGGCAAGTTGGGGCAGGCAGAGGTGGGCAGGGGGCAGCGGGAGCAGAGGTGGAGGGCCCTGTGCAGCCGCTGGCTGTGGGTAGAGGGCCAGGGGCTGCCAGCCGAGATCTCACCTTGTTCTCACAGTGGACCTTGGCCCCGGAGTGGACCAGGATCTGCAGGATCCGCAGGTGACCGAACCAGGCAGACAGGAGGAGCGCATTCATCCCGAACTAGGGGAGAGGACGTGGGGAGGTGGGGAGAATGTGAGGAGGTGTGGCCGTGCACCTGGCCCCGTGTCCACATGGCACAAGTAACCAGAAGTGCCACCCGGTCCAGGGAGCTCCCAGCTTTAAGAATTTAAAGACCAGGAAGTCTGGGTCAGCACTGTAGTATTGCTGGTAAAGCCACCGCCTGCATTGCTGGCATCCCATATGGGCACGGGTTTGAGTCCCAGCTGCTCCACTTCCAATCCAGCTCCCTGCTATGGCCTGGGGAAAGCAGTAGAGGCTGGCCCAAGTGTTTGGGCCCCTGGTGGCCAGTTGGGGAGTGAACCAGACGATGGAGGGCCTCTCTCTCTGCCTCTCCTTCTCTCTGTCTCTCTGGAACTCTGACTTTCAAATAAATAAATAAAATTAAAAAAAAAAAAAGACCAGGAAGTTTTTAAAAATGGAGGCGGATATATTATTGCAAGCTTTTTTTTTTCTAAATGAAACCAAAAATAAAACAGCTGCCATCTACTCCCATCATTAGTTCAGAAGGGACTATTTAAAAAAATTTTTTTTTGAGAGGCATAGAGAAAGACAGAGAGAGAGATCTACCGTCTACTGGTTCATTCCCCCAAAAAGCTCGCAACAGCCAGGGCTGGGCCAGGGCTGGAGCCAGGAGCTGGGAACACAATCCAGGTCTCCCACGCGGGTGGCAGGGACTCAATGACCTGAGCCAGCACCTGCGTCTCAGGGTCTGCACAGGCAGGAAGCCAGGTCAGGAGCCTGAGCCAAGGTTCAAACCAGGGCCCCAGTGTGGAGTGAGGGTGTCCTAGCCACTAGGCTAAACACCCACTGCCAAGAAAGACCATTTTAAAACCAAAAGTTTGGAAGGAACCAGTCTGAGAATAAATTCTTCATAAACACAGCTTCAAGAGTATAGCAGGCCGGCACCGCGGCTCAATAGGCTAATCCTCCACCTTGCGGCACCGGCACACCGGGTTCTAGACCCGGTCGGGGCGCCGGATTCTTTCCCGGTTGCCCCTCTTCCAGGCCAGCTCTCTGCTGTGGCCAGGGAGTGCACTGGAGGATGGCCCAAGGGAGACCAGGAGAAGCACCTGGCTCCTGCCTTTGGATCAGAATGGTGTGCTGGCTGCAGCGCGCCAACCACAGCAGCCATTGGAGGGTGAACCAACGGCAAAGAAAGACCTTTCTCTCTGTCTCTTTCTCTCACTGTCCACTCTGCCTGCAAAAAAAAAAAAAAAAAAAAAAGCATTACAGTGTCCTTGTTTTCTTTTTCTTTTTCTTTTTTTTTTAAGATTTATTTATTTACTTGAAAGTCAGAGTTACACAGAGAGAGAAGAAGAGGCAGAGAGAGAGAGAGAGAGAGAGAGAGGTCTTCCATCTGCTGGTTCACTCCCCAATTGGCTGTGGGACAAATAAGCCGCTTTTCCTTACAAATTACCCTGTCTAGGGGCCAATGCTGTGGCATAGCGAGTAAAGACACCGCCAGTAGTCTGGTATCCCATACGGGCGCCGATTCGACCTGGCTGCTCCACTTCCCATCCAGCTCTCTGCTATGGCCTGGGAAAGCAGTGGAAGATGGTCCAGGTCCTTGGGCCCCTGCACCTGCATGGGAGACCCAGAAGAAACTCCTAGCTTCAGATTGGCCCAGCTCCAGCCGTTGTGGCCATCTTGAGGGTGAACCAGCGGATGAAAGATCTCTCTCTCTGCCTCTGCCTCTCTGTAACTCTGCCTTTCAAATAAACAGATAAATCTTTTTTTTTTTTTTTTTTGGACAGGCAGAGTTAGATAGTGAGAGAGAGAGACAGGGAGAAAGGTCTTCCTTTTGTTGGTTCACTCCCCAAATGGTTGCTATGGCCGGCGCGCTGCGCCGATCCAAAGCCAGGAGCCAGGTGCTTCCTCTTGGTCTTCCATGCGGGTTCAGGGCCCAAGCACTTGGGCCATCCTCCACTGCCCTCCCGGGCCACAGCAGAGAGCTGGACTAGAAGAGGAGCAACCAGGACAGAATCCGGCATCCCAACTGGGACTAGAACCCAGGGTGCCGGCGCCACAGGCGGAGAATTAGCCAAGTGAGCTGGGGCACTGGCCTAAATAGATAAATCTTAAAAAAAAAAAAAAAAAAAAAAAAAAAAAAAACCCACAAATTACCCTGTCTGTGGTATTCAATTAGAGTAGCAGCAAACAGACTAAGGGGCAGGTGTCTGGCCTGGCAGTTAACGACGACAGCTAAGATGTCCACATTCCACACTGGACTACCTGAGTTTGAGTCCCGGCTCCAGCTTCCTGCTAATGCGGACCCTAGAGGGCAGCAGGTGACAGCTCAAGTACTGGGGTCTCTGCCACCCCCCGGGGAGACATGGACTGAGTTCCCAGCTCCAGGATTCAGCTTGGCCCAACCCTGCTGTTGTGGGTATTTGTGGATGGAAGATTCTCTCTCTCTCCCTCTCTCAGCAGTGCACTGCCTGCCCTAGGCTCCGCATGACTGTCAGACTTCATGCAAGTCTGGCGGTGCAGAGCCCAGTGGCCTCCCATGAGCGCTCTTCCTCCTCCCAGCGGCATTGCTAACCCGGCAGTCAGGCTGCCAGGCCGGCTGCAGCTCTCCCTGCGCATGCGCACCCGAGGGGCTGAGACCGGAAAGGCCCTTGACAGCGGAGGGAGCTCTACTGCTGTGCCAGAGAAAGCGGGATCCGCGCAGTGCCACGGCCACCCCGCACCTGCGACAGCGACAGCAACTGACTCACAGATGCAGAGGATGAGACTGACACCGCCCCACCCCCACCTGGGCAGACAGGCAGACAGGCAGACACACAGACGTGCCCCTGGGAAGGGCCCCCTACCGCATCTTCGTCGTCCACAGCCGCCTCGTGCTCCAGGAGCAGCCGCACTGCCTGCTCGTGCCCCGCGCCTGCGGCCCAGTGCAGGGCCACTCTGCCCGCCTGCCACGAGGGAGAGGGACCGGGTCACTGCGGCAGGAGCGCCTGGCCCACCTGGCCAGCCTCCCACCCCTCCCCGCCAGAACAGCTGGGCCGCAGGCTGGAGGGGCTTCTGCAGGCCCTGCTGACCAGCTGGCTGGGACCTAGCCCTGCTCTGGCCCCTTCTCGTCCCACACATGGTAGCATCCGAAGCGAATGCAGCAAAACACAACTCGCTCCATCTGTTCCCCACCGAAAACTCCTCCCGACTTCCCACTGCTTTCGGGCCAGACTGTGAGCCCCAGGCCTCTGAGGCTCGGCCAGGCCTGGCACTGGCCACCACTGCGTCTCAGAAAAGCCACCGCCCAGCCTTCGTGCTTGCTGTTCCCACCCCCCCTGCCCAGTCCAGGGGCCTAGGGTTATTCTCCAGGTCCCCAGGGGGCACCTGGTTTCTTCCTTCAGGCCAGGGCCTGGCCGTGCACCCCACCGCCAGAGCACCCTGCTGTGCACGCTGGCCCCAACTCCTCAGAGCAGGCCTGGGGGAAGCAGCCTCCCGCCCCTCGCCTTTGTTTTCTATGTGGTCTCAGGCAAGCTGTGTCCCCTCTCTGGGCCCAGCTGCTCCTTCCTTCCACAGGGCTTCTGCCACGCTTGTCCCTTCCACTCAGGACACTGCCTACTTCACCTGGCCTTCAGGTGGTGTCTCCTGCTCCACCAGGTGGGCCACACCTCGCCCGCCCCCCCCCCCCGCAGCAGGATGGGACTGCTTGTGGGAGCCTTGGCCTGATATCTGTCCCCACTCCCACCCCAGATCATCAGCGGCACAAGAGCGGGGCCACGTCCTGTCATGGGCTCTGCTCCACCCTCAACACCTGGCAAGGTGCCCACCTGGATTAAGCCCTTAATAAATCGTGAATGGATGAATGAATGGAGTCAGTGAGTGAGGGACGGCAGCATTATTGTCTGTCATCCAGCAAGGCTAGGCTTCCTTGCAGGTGCTTGTCCAGGAGTTGGGAACGAGGCTCTGGTCACCAGCACCGTGCTGGGTGACCTAAAGTGACCTGTGCCCCCACATGCCCCCCCTTGATGCGCTCCCCAGCCTGCTCACCTCTCCAAGGATTGGGGGGGGCACTGGGGAGCAGGTGCTCTGGAAACCAGGATGCACCAGACCCTTCCCAGAATCCCCGTGGTTATCATTGTGCCCTGGCAGGTGCCAAAGAGCCAAACCACAACCCTGTCACATCAGGCCCAACCGTCAGGAATCCCACATCCAGCTCCTTCCGCCCGTTCCCCCGTCTCCCATGAAGTTCCTGCAGTGCTGTGGCTCAGCAGGTTAAACAGCAGCACACCCCCACCCCATAGGGGCGCCGCTTCAGGTCCCCGCTGCTCTACTGCTGATCCAGCTCCCTGCTAATGCAGTGCCCGGGCCTGTCCTTGTGTCCCCTCCCCCAGCAGGGCTGTGAACCCCCACAAACACCTGTGCCCTCCCCCGAGGCTCCTCCCTGCCTCCTGCCTCATCTTGGAGTCCCCCAGGGCGGGCGCGGGCCCAGAACAGCACAGGCCTGGGAAGAGCTGAGCTAAATCAGCCTCTTGCACACTGCGCTCCTGGATTCGGGCCTCTCTTGGTCCTGAGCCTGGGCATCTGATCACGGGCACCACTGTGTCCTCATCTCTGACTGCTGACCTCTGACCCCGCTCTCTGCCTCTCAGCTTTACTTCTTGCGGGTCCCTCTGAGATGGGTCACCCAGGGTTAAGAGTGTGAGCTGTGGAATTGCCTGGGTTCGGCCCCGGCCCCTCTCGGTCTGAGAGACCCTGAGACAATCAGCACAGAACCTGAGCCTCCGTCCACGAGCACCTGCGTGCGCCTGCCCCCACTCCCGGAACTGACCCCTGTGCCACAGTGTCACCCCGCACTGTGGTGTGGAGGAGCCCACTACGCACGTGGTTTCTGGCCCTGACGTTCACTCTCCTCCTCATCAGCTCCTTCATCCTCCCGACGTGGTTCTGGCGGGCAGCCTCATGCAGCTGCCGCTCCAGAGGGAGCACTGCGGAGAGAGGGACGGGCGCAGGCTGAGGGGAGCGTCCCCCACCCCAAATCAGGCGGCGCTGCGGTTAGGAAGACAGCCCCTTCGGGCAGGGGTCTTCCCTTCAGGAAGCTTGGCGCCGGTGGGATGGGGTGGGGGGGGGAGAGCAGCAGCTCGAGCCAGGGACCCTCCCACACTGCCCTCTTCTCGCTAACTCCCGGACCGCGTAAACCCTGAAGACGGGAGCGCATGCGCAAGAGCAGCCGCTGCGGCCCGGGTGTGGCCCTCAACCCTTACAGGCACCCGCATCCTGCTCTTCCGTCCCCTCCCTGAGAGCTGCTTTAGGGGAAGGGAATGGAATTCATTCCCATTGCAGTCAGAGCTTCTTTCCCAGCTCGGTCCTGTCTAGAAGGTGGCCGGGGCAAGGCAGAGACTCGGTGCACCTCCCCCAGCCGCCACCTCTCCCCTCCTCATCCTCAACTGCTAGTTAGCTTTCACCTGGCCGCTCCGAGGCCCGCCATGATTTGCCCTCCCTGTGCCTGCTCACCCTCGGGGCTGCACTCTGGGAGAGTCTCGGACTAGAGGGAGCTCGCCACAGTGTGCCACCCCCACCACAGTGGGCTCAGGGCCGTGCTGCAGGCTAGTGTCTGAACCTGGAGTCCCCAGGCCTGGTGAGGTGGGCCAGGGCTCAGCCTACCACACTCCCAACTGCGGTCACCCCGATTGCTCTTGGCTTGGGAGAATGTCCAGTCTCCTTGGCGAGACCATGGTCACACTTGACACAGCCCGCAGCAGCCTGAAGCTGGGCACACAGAGGAGTCCATGCAGCTCTGGTTCCATGAGTGACAGGCGTGGATGCCTGCCCCCTCCGTCAGAACCGCTCAGGCACACTAGCTCCGAGGACAAATATTTGCTGGCCCTTTGCAGTCATCACACAGTGAGTAATCTTGTGGTTTTATTGCTGCAAAACCCACATCCTGCATTTTTGGTCCAGTGTGACTGTCTGGACCCAAACACTGCATCCAGGGATGGTGGCCAGTGTCCTGTCAGAGGAGGCCAGGACGCACTGAGGTCACAGGCCTGCCACGCCGGTTGTTTTTTCCAAATAAATCCCTCATAGCCTCTCTGGTGCAGAAGCGGGTCTTGGGCTTTCTGGGGCTTCGTGGACACAACCTGTGGACCCCTGAGCTGCTGCAGGAGCCCAGGGAGTGACCTGGTGTGTGTCAGCAAAGAGCTCAGGGTGCAGGGGGAGCAAGCACACGCTGCTCAGAGCCAGGCCCGAGAAGGTCCCGTCGCACACTGCCCGCTCCACCTGCTGAGTCTGGGCCAGGGCTGGGCCTCTGCCCAGAACTCCCCTCCAGAGCCCCTGCTCCACATTCTATGAATGCAAGGATTGATGGTGGCCAGGCACCACGCGGAATCCTGCACCCTCTGAAAGAATTAGCACTGTGATCAAACTATCCCCACCCCCCCACCCCCAACAAAACCACCCCTAAGCTTCATTCAGCATTTGGGACACTGTAGATCTCAAAGGTCCTCACTGAGATGGACCCCAGTACTGTGGGAATTTGTGGACAGAGCCTGGTTCGGCTGTCGGGACGCAGCCAGGGCTGCAGGGCTGAGGGCCCGAATGGGGACACTCTCCTCTCCCAGGCAGTGCGGCCAAAGCTCCTGATGCCCACGCAGATGCTGCTGCCTGGCCTGGGGCCCTGGTACTGGGCACACCACAGCTCCCGTCGCTGGCTCAGTTTCCCCACCCAACCATGACATCCTGTGACCTGGGGCCGTCTACCACTTAACAGCCGTGACCTCGGGTCTCAGCTTTGTCATCTGCCAAATGGAGACAGCGGTAAGACCTACCCACAGGCGCAGCGCAGACCAAGCAACGGGCCTGCTCTGGCTCAGACAGAACTCAGCAAGGATCGCTGTGACCGTCATGATTTCTAGGTAATGCCCCCCCCCCCCCCCCCCCGTGGCACCGGGCGCAAAGCAAGTCCCACACACGCAGCCAAGCGTCTCTGCTCGCTCGCGTTCCGGGGCCCAAAGAAGAAAAAGAGGTGGCCACGCCTACCGCGCCAGTCCCGCCCTTGGCCGCCCCTGCACGGATGGAGGATGGGATAGGGGGTGGGGGTCCTCTCGGCCTCGGCCCGCCCCTCCGTGTCCCCTGCTCCCAGCGCCGCGGACTCACGGCCGTGGGTCTCCCACGCCAGCTCTTCCTCCATCCCGCCGCTGCGCAGCTGGGCACGCGGCGCGCGTCCGACCCAGCGGGGCTAGCGAGCGCCGGGCAGGGGGCGCAGCGCCTCCAGACCCTGCGCCCCTGCTTGCTCCGAGCGCAGCCGCTGCGGCCTCCCAGGGTCCCCGACCCAGCTGCGGGGCCCTCCTGCTGCTCCCTCCACCTGCCCCAGGCTCGGCGCCTATCGGAACCGAGCCGCCGGATCGGGGCCACGCTGGGCTCCGCAGGTCCCCCCTCGCCCGAGCTCTCGCAGCCTCCCGCGCCCCAGAGACGCACTCGGGAGCATCGGGCAGCCGCCTCCGCGAGCGTGGGCTCGGGACCCTGGCGCCTTGGCCTGGTGCCCCTGGGAGCACAGTCAGACCCCACCACTTGAGCAGGCGTTTAAGGCGCTGCGACCCTAGCAAGGTCGCTGGCACGCGAAGATACGGAAGGATTTTTTCGTGATTAGAAAAGTACAAGCGAAAATGACAAGGACGGTTAAAATGACAGTGAGCTGTCACACCGATAAGACTGGCAAAAATTAGACAGCTGGATGATGCCACCACGCATCTGAGGAGACTGTGGAGCTACAGCAGGGGGGCTCTGCTGATGGGAGCAGTTGAGCAGTAATGGGGGGGCATTAGCCACAGGACCTGTTACCCAGCACCTAGCTCTCCCATGCACATCCCCCAAACCTCTCTCAGGCCCATAAAGGGACATACAGAAGTATGCTCTGATTGAGTTGCTCTGTGGCAGCCTAAATGTCCATCAGTGGGAGAGTGGATGGGTGACACGTGGCTCTGTGCAGCCTGAGAAGCAAGGCACCAGGTGTACTTTCAGCATCAGTGCTGGGCAGAAAAATCCACTGAGTGAGACGTATAACACCATACTGATAGAAATATTTTTTTAATTCATGTATTTTTGGGTTTGCAAAGACAGGCACAAACAGAAAAGATACACATTAAACACACCAGCATGGGTTGCACTTCAGATCCTGTCTGTTCTTTGCTTGGTAGGCCTTAAAGCATCTATAACAGCTTTCGATTTATGGGAAGCTGGGTCTCTGACATCCCTGCCCCAAAGCGGGAAGCCAGCAAAACCACGAGAGGTGTGGTTACCGGTTCTTCAGAGACCAGAGGAGGGAGACTATCTTTTGGTCTTTAGTATACAGGGTGCAGTTTGGAAAGGCTTCCTGAAGAAGGAAGTATTGGTGCTGGCCTTTGAAAAATGGCACAGTGATAATAGCTACCAATTAATAAGCCTGGTCCAAGCGCTTTGTGTAGGTTATCACATTTGGCCCCCAAACCACCCTATGAAACGGACACTGTGGTCACCACTTTGTGAGGAGGAGGCACAGCCCAGAGAGGGTTGGTAGCTCTCCCTGCTTCACACTGCTGAGCGGTGGGACCAGAGTGCTTGCCCAGGTGGTCTGAATTTCCAGAAGCGACTGGCAGGTGGACGGGGCTCTGACAGCAGATGGCTGGTCACTCTCCAAGCCCTGGCCGCCTGATGGGTGGGCGCAGAGGAGCCAGGGAGCAGTTGGCAGGCACAGCAGCCTGGCTGCCACCCTGACGCCTGTGGTCCTGGGACAGCAGAGCGCAGGGCTGCTGCTTTATCACCTCCTTCATGGGGTGATGAAGGGGGAAGGGCAGGAGGGAGAGCCAGGGGTCCATGGCCCCGACTCCCCAAGTTAGGGGAAGCCCCGGCAGGGTAGGTTTGAGGTTCCAGGCTTCATTGCTGGCTCTGCCCCTGCTGGCTTTGGGGATGCTCCTTGTGAGGCCCCCTGAGCACAAGACCCCTCCCTGGAAGCCTCAGGTCTGGGCTGGGAAGCCCCCGGCCCGGGCAGAGAGACCAAGAGAGATTTCCTTCCCTGAAGCTTCATTTTGAAAACTTCCAGACGTACAGAAAGGTGAAAGGCTTGCAACGCATTTATTAGTATTTTGCCACATGTGATTTCTCTTAGAGAAGCCTTGTTCTTAAATTTCTTATTATGGGGCCAGCGCTGCAGCTCACTAGGCTAATCCTCTGCCTTGCGGCGCCGGCACACCGGGTTCTAGTCCCGGTCGGGGCGCCGGATTCTGTCCCGGTTGCCCCTCTTCCAGGCCAGCTCTCTGCTGTGGCCAGGGAGTGCAGTGAAGGATGGCCCAAGTGCTTGGGTCCTGTAACCACATGTGAGACCAGGAGAAGCACCTGGCTCCTGGCTTTGGATCAGGACAGTGCTGGCAATAGTGGCCACTTGGGGAGTGAACCAACAGAAGGAAGACCTTTCTCTCTGTCTCTCTTTCTCTCTCTCATTAACTCTGCCTGTCAAAAACAAAATTCTTATTACGGGAGATTTCCAATATAGACAAAGGTAGAGCGAATACTAGAACTAGAATAAACACCAGGACCCCAGGTGCTCAGTATCCAGACTCAGCAGTTGGCAGGCCATGACTATTTCTTCCTTCGCCTCTTCCTGAATCAATTTGAAGAAATTGCATAAACATAAATTTATCCGCATATTTCTATAAAAATATTTTAAGAATATAACCACAGTACCATTTTTTAAAAAGATTTACTTATTTAGTTGAAAGCCAGAGTTATACAGAGAGAGGGAGAGACAGACAGACAGAATTTCTATCTGTTGGTTCACTCCCCAGACAGCCACAATAGCTGGGGCTGGGCCAAAGCCAAGGAGCTAGAAGTTTCCTCCAGCTCTCCCACGTGGGTGGCCATCTTCCACTGGTTTCCTAGGTGCATTATTGGCAGGGAGCTGGATCAGAAGTGGAGGAGCCAGGACTTGAACTGGTGCCCATATGGGATGCTGGCATCAGGGGCAGAAGCTTAACCCACTATACCACACCGCCAGCCCCAGCAGTAGCATTTTTATACTTAAAAATCAACAATAATTCCTTAATATGATCAAATTCCCAGTGTTCAACTTTCCCCAACTGTCGCACACACACACACACACACACACATGTATAGTGCGTGTATATATATATATATATATATGATGTGTGTGCAATACAAGTTTTTCTAATTAGAAACCCAGTAAGTTCTATGTATTAAAATTGGTTAATTATTTCTAAATTCTTCCTTAATTTATAAGTTTCATACCCCTACTGCTCTGCAGTGTATGTGCTGAAGATACTGGTTCATTTGTCCTGTAGAGAATCCCACAATCTAGAGATCTAGATTTTACTGATCAATTTCCCATGGTGTCATTTAACATTCTTCTCTCTCCCTCCCTCCCTCCTTCCCTCCCTCTCCCTCTCCCTTTTACTCTCTTTCAATTTGAAAGACAGACAGAGAGAGAGCTCCCATCCTGCCTGCAACAGCCAGGGCTGGACCAAGCCAAAGGCAGGAGCCTAGAACTCAATCTGAGTATTCCATGTGAGTGTCAGGGAGCCGAGTGACTTCGCACCGGGAGGAGGCTGGATTTGGAGCCCAGGCGGGTCAGGGTGGATGTGGGCATCCCAAGCAGTGTCCTGACTGCGGTGCCAGATGCCTGGCCTGCTCCCGGCGTTTCTTATACACTGGCGGATTGACTGGTCAATGGGCTTGGCTGGTGGTTTCACGGAAGTGGCACTGATTTGCACCAGAAGATGCCCAACATCTCAGCTCCCTTTGTGTGACGTCAGCACTCCGCTTACTAAACCAAGGCTTGAAAATGGGAGGTGTCTTTTTCCCGTCATTCCTTGTGCACTCGTAAGCAGACATCCTCATACGAAGTGGAGCTTCCTCTCATGAACGACTTGATGACTCCTGTGGGGGAGGGAGTCATGGTTCCTTTTACAGTCTTTTTTTTTTTTTTTACCAGTTTTCAGAACAATGAGATGGTTTCCGAGCATTCTGTGATGTGTTCAATGTGGTATTTTGCTCTGTTTTGTTTTACTGTCATTATAAACTAGGGACTTTACTACATTCTGTGTGTAGGCTCCATTGGTGGTATTTCTCTTACAGACGCTTCAGTTGTGCACCTCTAGCCAAGTTGCCTGCTGAACCACTGTAGTTTTTCATGGCTTCCCAGCTCCTGCTACAATGACATGTTCTAGATTCTTCCAGCACTTTCCAGCACCACACCTAAAAGCAACCACGTCTCCCCAGAGTCCTGGATCCTTTTAGTGGGAAGTGATATGTAGAGACCACAATCTGAGTGCTAGGGGTGATCACTGCTACTGAGTTGGTTTTCTCCCTTGGGCCTCTCAGCAGCTCCAGCTAGGACACGCTTGCTCATTGGTTTGTGTTCTGATAAAACCCACATGAATATCAACTCAAATTCAAGACAAGATTTTACCTATTGTCATCAAAATGACATGTTCTTCCTCCCATGTTGGAAATCTCACATCTCAGTGACTTCAACAGAATCTCTCATTCACTGCACTCCATAATATACTCATAGCAGTCTCGGAACAACAATTCCAACATAGCATGCGACTCCATTCTTGAAAACAGGTTAAGTATTTTTAAAGTTTTTCTTGCTACATGGATACACCCACCAGTGGTCTAGAGTCACTTAGAACGGTTCCTCTCACTGTGGTTCTGTTAGCGGCGATGGGTGGGATAGGTTCTTGTCTTTGTGCAAGAAAGAATTCAGATGTGAGACCGAGAGTAATGGTAAACAAGATAGCAGGGTTAATGGGGTGGGGCATCTGTCAGAACATATGAGACAGAATCTGGGAGAGAGTGACAGTCACTCGGACTGGGGAGAGCAAGGCTACATGGTTTAATGGAGAGAATGCACCTGGCAGGCCAGGCGGGCAGCTCAGCAGAGAGCTGAGAGCTGAGCACGCAGTCTGTATTCAGACCAGGGCTTCTAAGGGAAGGGGGTCGGGTTCTCCTGCTGTTTCTCCTTCCTTGCCTCCTCCTCCTCCTCCTCCCCCTCCTCCTCCTCCTCCTCCTCCAGGACAGAGGTTCGCTGAGTGTAAACAGGTGAAACTCCTCCCTAGGTGTCACTACTCAGTGCTGTCAGACTGGGGAGGCCACCTGGCACCGGGCCCAGGAGCTCCCCCCAGGGTGCCTTCCGTGGGTGGGCCGGGACGGCTGTGCTGCCCAGTGATCAGGCTGGGTGACCACTGGTGCTGAGCAGAGGGTTCTCCTGGGGAGCTCTCGCGGGGGGAAGGCTGAGGCCGCCTGTGAGGTTGTCGGGGTCTGGGCAGGACTTCGCAGTGTAACCTGCCGGGCAGCTCCCAAGGTGAGCTCCTGCAGAGGCTGTGCTTCCCTTTGGCCCCGCTCCCCACACAGGCTCGTTTCTAACGTCCCACCTAACAGTTATGCCACCAATTCGACGCGCGGGGTTTACTTGTTTCATTTTCTTTTGCTTTTTATTTATTTTTTAAAGATTTATTTATTTGAAAGTCAGAGTTACACAGAGAGAGGAGAGGCAGAGAGAGAGAGAGAGAGAGAGAGAGGTCTTCCATCTGATGGTTCACTCCCCAGATGGCCACAATGGCCAGAGCTGTGCTGATCCGAAGCAGAAGCCAGGAGCTTATTCCGGTCTCCCACGTGGGTGCAGAGGCCCAAGGACTTGGGCCATCTTC